AGTCATCTTGATACAAAGTTCCAAAACAAGTGCGTACATTTCCAACTTATGATTGGATGGTTGTGGTGGCGTCGGTCTGGTAAAATTTGACAACCAATTCTCAAAATTAAGTCACGATCAGTGAGCTCGATCTATACGTACTTTAAAAGTATGCTCACAAACATATTTTCGAATGAAAATGAGCCACATGCCCTGTAAAAAATCGAATAGCGCTTGACATGCAGGAATAATTTATTGGGCTTCAGAAAAAAAACGTGTCCATTTAGTGTGGCCGTAAATATTTGGTGACCAGCCGATGAACAATTTGAAAATCATGATTCACACGGAAGTCCTTCGATACTGAAAATCATCGACCCCAGTCTGGTTTACCTTATTTCCCAACTTGCAAAACTGATTTGTATCTCAGCCCTGTTAGATTGGATGGTACGACGACCCTTCAATTTGCGTTAAATATGTTTTGTTACAACATCATTGATTGGCTCAGAGTCACCTGATCGGAGCACGACCTGGGTCACAGAACCATATTTGTCCGTATTATCAACAGGACTTTGCGAGAAAACCACACCCACATTTTCAACCATTTTAGCGCGGAAGTTGCCAACAAATGTCGAAAACTCGTGAATTTTATGAATTCGAATAAAATAAAGCTAGCGATTCGTAAGACTGGTTAATAATATATCCCCCGATGCTCTTCGATTTTTTTATTTCAAGGTGAGAAATGGATACTAGTAGTTGAAGTTCCATCGATTTCAAGGCGACTATTTAACCGCGACAACTCTTCGCTCTGCTGTAGTTTCGCGAGGTAAAACAAAAATACAATAAATAGTACTTGTTTAATTATTTGGTCGTACAGCCCGCAAATTACGGGACATGATCCCCATGAATTGCGATAAATAAATGCTGATTGTGTTGAATGACGAACGTCGGGACCGTTTGGAGAAACAAATTACGGTCGGTAGACATTTCAAACAAATGAAATTATTGACGAAAGACGAGATTTTTCTAGGTATTTACGATCATACGGTCATACGAAATATATACAAAATTGACAAATACACAAAGAGGTGTAATAGTAGGTCATTTTTATTTTAGCCTTAGAAATATTTTCTTTCACTCAGTCCACGTCCACGTCCACGTCCACGTTTAGCTTCATGGTCCTTCGGCTTGTCTTCTGCTTGGGGGGAAACAACAATAATTATACAAATCGTAAACTCAACACAATCAGGAAAAGAAACCCAGACAACCATGTTGTACTTCTGTTGAATACATTTTGTAGCAGTGCGTCACGTCGGAATATTGTCTAAAAAAAAATATTCAATCCCAGCCAAATCTAGGTCAAAGGGTCAGATTGCGTGCATATAATTATAAATAGTTAAAACAAAAAGTATTTGAACTTTTGACGGTTGTTCAACATCTATGCACGGTTACTAAACTAGTAACCGTGATCTATGAAAACCAGAAAATTTTTAGTAGTCCGAATTGTTGCACGGTCGAAAATAAAACGGAAATTGACCGGTCAAAAGCGGAAGCGGTCAAGAGGTTTGAGGGAAATGAGTACTGTACTTCTTTGTTTGATGAAGCGATGCTGATACCACATTGTCGCCATAATGAGGCCACAATGAAGCGAAGCGATAATCGCCTAACTTTTTAATGTCGCGACATTGAAGCGATGCTGAAGCCGTAACAATGCCGTAATGATGCGATGCTGAAGCGAAGCTGACGCTGAAGTGAAGCCAAAGCTTCCGCGAGAACTGTACTGTACATATATTCACGCACATACCAAATTTTCCCTATTAAAATTGCATCTCTAATAGGAAGTGAACATATACCATATTTGCTCTATAAAAATCAACATAAACCAAAAATTGTAAATGTATTGTAGTTTGAATCATTAAAATGTGAAATGAATATACTATGAAGAGCACAAATATCCATCTATATCAATATAGTGTCAACACAGTTGTAATAATTTTGCAGGCGGAATATTAAACGAGCAGCACCAATAACAGTGAATGGCCATGCACAGAGTGATGGAGAAGATAATGATGAGGATGATGAACAGATACCAAGGCGTAGTAATCGTAGAATTGTAGCACTTGAAAAGGCAATAGAAACAGTGGGCAAAACAAAGCCTACATCCAAAGAAGAAAGTACAGTCCCAGTTGTGAGTATATAAGGGCTTTGTAAACACTTGCATATCTCTGGAGATTTACTATAAAAACAAGCAAAGAATGCCTGAGTCACCAATTTTTAGAAACTTATGGCTGCTCAGTAGCACTTGAAAATGTATCACTAATTTTTAGCTCCCGTGAAACGGAGCTTATGTGGTACCGGTGTCTGTGACTGTGACTAAAATTTGTTCCACTGATAACTTAAGATCTACAATTTCAATTCAAATGAAATTTGGCACACAGCTAATATATGATGAGTAGATGCACTGATTAGATATGGTGCAATTCTATGCATATTAATTAGTCAATTATTGCATTAATTAGTCCCCATTCAGACGCAGTATCTGTATCTTAGAAATGCCTGGACCAATCACAATCAAACTTCACACATACATCATACATGATATTATACGTACATTTTTGTATGCACGTCAATTTGTTTCACGATCTGATTCAAGATGGCCGAATGGCGGCCGTTTTTTTTTTGCTCAAAATCAAGCATTTCCCGGCTATTTACAGATGGATTTTGTTCAAACTTGGTATACATTAGACATTATGGGACCTTAATGCAAATAATTTTGTTTTTCAGATAAAATTAAAAATGGCCGGCTGGAGGCCATTTTGTTTTAATGAATGTGGTTCTCGTGCCATATCTCTGACTTGTTTTCACTGATTATGTTCAAATTTTAAATATTCATTATACATCATGTCATAGATAGACAAATATATTGGTTTGATGATCCTATTCAAAATGGCCAAATGGTGGCCGTTTTTGTGCTAAATAATCATCAAATATCAAGCATTTCTGGCATTTATGGATGGATTTCGTTCAAACTTGGTACATACCGTTAAAGTCCTATTATAAACCGCGGTTTATATTACAATGTATCAATTTAAAAATTGGGATCAAAAGCTCAAGTTCGGGGTGCGGTTTCTATTACGTACATATTGCAATCACTAAATGGGCGTGGTCATTTTTTGTCCACAACACATGCACAAAACAAACAATACACCGTACAATCTCTTGAATAGGCGTCAGGGAAGAGTGAAGGGCCTTATTTTGGTTCTAAAATAGGCGTTACGAAATGTTGAAAAATTACAGTCAATCAAAAAAAAATTCCACATGATACAAAAAATACTCAGTATTTTTAATGTAATATGCATTTATTTTTTTAATTTTC